TCCACTCGCCTCTTCCTCCTGACTGCTGGATTGTCTCTTTTGGTTTTTTAATAAGATCCTACATTTACACGGTTCTAAATTCAAGAAAAATTTGGGTGTAGAGAACGTTTCGATTCACTTAATAACATTCCCATCATACAACCATTGCATGTGTTGTTGATGTGTTTTTCCAGAGGTCTGGTCTGCCAACACGAGCAAATCTAAACATTGGTGAGTCTGTAGTCACTCTTATCTTACATCTTTTCACACACATCATAACATCTCACATACGACTGGGCACTTTGCTTTGTTCCTATTGTTCTATCTTGGTGACATCTTTCCATGCCATCATCCCGAAACCTTCCTTTTGGCTGGGTGTGGTGACACACACATTTAATCCCAGCACTCCGGAGGCAGAGGCAGGCAGATCTTTGTAAGATGGAGGCCAGCCTGGACTGGTCTGGGTCTACATAGTGAGACCTGTCTCAAAAAACAAAACAAAACAACAACCAAAAAACAAACAAAAACTTCCTCTTATTCTTTTCTTTTCTTATGTCTACCTTATTTGACATTTTCTAGATGGCCTACAATTTGCTTAAGCAAGCCACTGTTAATGGATGTTTAGGTTGTTCTTTTTTAGATTTATTTTTTAATTTTATGTGTGTGTGTGTGTGTGTGTGTGTGTGTGTGTGTGTGTGTGTTTGTGTGATATGTGTGTAGATGCCTGAAGACTCTAGAAGAGGGAATCTGATCTCCTGGAGCTGGAGTTACATGCAGTTGTGAGACACCTGATGGTGCTGGGAGCTGAACTCGGATCCTGTGGAAGAGGCAGCAAGTGTTCTTAACTGCTGAGCGATGTCTCCAGCCCTCATTTCTAAACTTTTTTTTTTTTTTTTTTTTTTTTTTGTGATAGAGCTGTGGTAAATTGTGTTGTTTACAGAACACTGACATTTTCAGAAAGCTCAGCAGGGACTTAAACATTTGCCAATGAGTGATTGGATAAAATGATTGGATGGCAGAGGCAGGGAGGGGTGTGAAAGGGTGAGGCCAGAGGCAGTGAGACCACCAAAGAGGCTACTGCAGTTATCTGGGAATCCAGAAGACAGCCAGTAAGGTAAGAGAACCAGTAAGGCTAGGTGACCTATGGGTGATAGGATTTGTACTTAGGTAGTCAAGATTTATTTCTTGGGATAGGAATGATACATTGGACAAATATCACTCCAGTTACTTAGATGAAAATAGCGCTGTTAGGATTGGGAAAAACATGCACATAACTGAAGTAACCATTAGCAGAGAGTCTGTAGCAGTAGAAAATCGGGTCAGTAGTCCTTGAGTTCCCAAGAGTTATTCTAACTCTTCCACTCTTACTGCTAAACCACATTCTCCTCCTCACCTAATTATTTCTTTGATTTCTCCTCCTTAATTGATTTGAACTCTTTTGTAGATCAGAAACTTGACAGTTCACAAGGTACCAAGAGGTCTGTGAATTGGCTTTTTATTTGCATGATTTTAAAGCTAGACATTATGTCTGCAGAGAGTGTTCTGACAGGTGGTGTGCTTGAGAGCCTGTTTTTAACAGACATAATTCATACACCATATCAGTCACTCTTTAAAAGTGTACAGTTCAGTGATTTTTTTTTTAGTGAAGTCAAAACTAATATCACTACCTAATTCCAGAACATTTCAGCATCTTCAAAGGAACCCCATACCCATTAAGTACACATTCCCCATTTGTACAGAGCCCCTGGGTAGCACAAATCTACTTTGTATTTCTTGGGATTTTTCCTAGTTTGAATACTTTATTTTTACGTGTGTGTGTGTGTATAGTGTGTGTGTGTAGGTGTGTGTATATGCTTCTTTCCATGTGTGTGGATAAACGTGTGTAGATGCGCATGTACATGTGCATGAGTACATGTGGAGGCCTGAGGTTGGTGTTGAGAATCATCTTCCATGGCTGTTCTACCTTATTCACTGAGGCAGGGCCTCTCAGTCAAACTCAGAGCTCTCCCGCATGGCTAGTCTCTAGCAAGAATGCTCTGGGGATCCCATCTCCACCTTCTGAGGCTGGAATTACAGGTGAGACACCTCACCCACCTGACATTTATGTGGGTTCTGGGGATCCTAACCCCAGTCCTCATATTTGTATGGTAAGCATTTTAACCACTCTATCTCTCCAGTCTCCCCAATATATTCTGTGAATGGATTCCTGTGTAGCCTTCCTGGGAATGGATTGTTTCCCCTAGAGTCATGTTATCAGATTCATCACTGTTGTACTTCATTCTTTTTATGGGTGATCAATGTGCCATTTGTTGTGTATACCATATTTTTTACATATTCATCAGTTGATGGACATTTAAGTTGTTTCCACTTCTTTGTTATTACAAATAATACTGCTATATGAATGGGTTTTTTTCATCCTATTTTATTTTTGAGGGTTTCTGATAATGCTACATTCTGAACATACAAAGGGTACAAAATGAATTTTTTTTGCAAGAATATTTCAAAGGTTGGTGCCAGTCTATCATTGTCTGCAAAGCACCTTCACGTACTGTTACTCTATGTCCATAGTTTTGGCCTGTACTGAAATGTAGGTGGGGAAGAGGGTCCCCTAGAGGGGTCTTAGTCTCATTCATAAAGGAATTGAAGAATGGACCCAAACAGCGGAAAGTGAGCAGATTTAGAGACCTACATGACTGTGGCTGGTCAAAAGTTCTGCGGAGTTCTGCATTACAAGGTGGGATTCCAGGCAGGAAAAATTCGCTATCTCATTAATGCACTAGGTATTCTGCCCATCTGTTTAGCATAACTTAAGTTGAACCTGCCTTCCTAACACCTCAGTTTTTTTTAACTTTTACAAAAACTTTATTGAGAATTTCATACATGCATATAAGCTGTTTGGATCAAATCCGTGTCCACTCCCTTCCAACACCTCCCATATCTCCCCATCACTTTTTTTTTCTTTTTTCTTCTTTTATTTATTTCTTTATTTTTATGGGGCTTTGGGGTACTCTAACATTTCCCCCTCTGAAGAGGTAACCCTAAAATCTTTTAAGGATTAGATACAAGCTCCCAAATACTTTTGACATTTTTGGCCTTTGGAATAGAGTATGTTGCTAAAAGTCCTAAGGACATTTTGACTTTTAGCCAAGGAACTGGCTACTTTTCTTTGGGGTCTTTCAACCCTAACTGCCTAGCCAATTCCTACCTCCTATTCTTACCACGCCATTCTCAAAAGGGGTTACCCAGATTGTCAATAGGGAATCGGGATGCAGATGCTTGGTTTCTTCCATGCTGAACAGGGACGCAGGGTGAGGCAACTGGAGTACCCCTTCAGTGGGTCTATCTAAAAATCTCTCAAATTGCATAATTCTTATCTCTAAGGGGAAAAGAAAGTCCTTGAATTGTGACTAGGAGATGTGAAGGAGAAGTAAAGGCGAGAGTAATTAGCATTACAAGTTCTAGAGAGGGAACTAGAAAAAAGAACAGGGCTATTTTCAAATGTTCATATGAGAGTCCATTGAAATTTCTTGACAAGGGATTTTTAAAATGATGAATTTATTTTTATTTGTACAAGTGTTTTGACCACCAGTACGTTTATTGGTTTGTGTGTAGTTCCCATGAAGATGAGAAGAGGGTGACAGAGGGGCCATGTGGGTGCTGGAAATTCAACCCAGGTGCTCTTGAAGAACAGGAAGTGCATAGGCCCTGAGCCGCCTCTCCAGCCCCAATGTGAATGCTTTTTTGAACAAGCCTTTGTGTGGACATACACTTCATTTCTCTTGGATAAAAACCTAGTAGTAGAATGGCAAGGCTTTGGGGTAGTACCTTTTTTCATTTCTGAGGAATTGCTGAACTGTATTAGTGGCTGCATTGTTTTACATTCATACCAGCAGGGTAGGAAGGTTCCAGTCTCTGTTCATCTTCACCATCAGTTGTCATGGTGTTATAGCCACTCTGGTGGATCTGTAGAGCTGTCACTCTTCAGAAGATGTGCGAATTGCATTTCTGTAATGTCCTGTAGTTATGAGCAGGGACCAGCACTTTAAAAACTATTTTAAATTATGTGTACCTATGTATATGTGCGCATGAGTGCAGGTACTAGTAGAGACTAGAAGAGGCTGTTGTTACAGGCAGTTGTGAGCCTCCAGACATGGGTACTGGGAACCAGTACCCAAGAGCAGCCAAGTGCTGAGCCATTTTTCTAGCCCCAGACCTGCATTTTTTTTTTCAATCTTTTTGAGACTGGGTCTCCCTGTAGCCTCAGCTGGCCTAGAGCTTGCTTTGTAGACCAGGGTGGCCTCAAACTCACAGAGCTCCAGCTGCCTCTGCCTCCTGAATGCTGGGACTAAAGGTGTGCGCCACCACTCCTGGCAGACAATTTTCTGTGCATCCTCAGACCCTGTGTTCAGTCCTGCAGGTACAGTTGTGAGCAGAGTGGTCTCAGTCTCTCCTCTTTTGGTATTTAGAGCTCGTATGAGGAGAGGAGGTAGCTCAGAAAAAAGTAATTGCAATGCTTTAAAATTGAAAAAGAAAAGAGAATTTTTCAAAGAAAATGTATAAAGAAAAAAATGCAACATTTTTGTATGTGTGTGTTGTATGTATGGTGGTGTGTTTGCCTGTGGCTGTGCTGGTGGAGACCAGAAGTTGATGTCCAGTGACTCAGTCACTCTCCACCTTATGTTTTGAGACAGGGTCTCTCACTCAACTTGGAGATCACTGTTTTGGCTAGACTGGCTGGCCAGTGAGCCTCTCTGACCCCCAGTGCTGGGGTTACAGACCTGTTGTACCCCTACCCCCTAACTTTTATGTGGGTGCTGGGGATGTGAACTCAGGTCCTCATGCTTATGCAGCAAGCACTTTACCCACAGAGACATCTCCCAGCCCTTGATTTTACTAGTTTCATGTAGATTTCTGTGGTAGGGGTTTTAAGCTTTGGGTGCTTGGTGTGTGCTAGGAACTTTACAGCTCTCTCAGGTACACTTTGATTTTGATTAATGATTCCTGTGTTTCTGTCGCTGTAGATGGTCCCCATCCCTGCTGGAGTATTTACAATGGGCACAGATGATCCTCAGATCAAGCAGGATGGGGAAGCCCCCGCAAGGAGCGTTGCTATTGATGCCTTTTACATGGATGCCTATGAAGTCAGTAATGCGGAATTTGAGAAGTTTGTGAACTCGACTGGCTATTTGACAGAGGTAATGGGGCTGGGACTAGAAGAGAGAACTTGATCTTTTCCAGAACTTGAAGAAGGATTTAGTAACAATGAACAGCGACCACTTTTACTTTGTGCCCAGCACTGTGGTAAACACATGAATGTATATTTCATCTAATTTCTCACAGCAGCCCCATGAAGCAACAAGCTGAGGATTAGAAAAGTGATTCATCCTAATTACACAGCCGGTTGCTGATGGCAATCAAGCATAGCCAGTGTGAACCCCAGAACTGGTGTTCCTAACCTTTTTGCTGCATTGTGTTTGTGCTTGAATCCGCCAGAGCGGGCTGTTGCCCACTAGGATTTTTGAAAGCACAGATGGTGTGTAAAGTAAGTCCATTCGTATTCTCAGTAAACTGCAGTCTGGTTGTCCCAGAAGTGTACTGTATTTCATAAGTGAGAGCTGCTGAAGTACACTTTGCATTTTAAAAAATATATTAGTTTTATTAATTTTTGAGATTTTCATGCATGCATAAAGATTTATTTTATTTTTTAAGTTATTTGTGCATATGTGTGTACATGTATGTAGGTGCCCATGGCCGCCAGAAGAGGGTGTCAGACTTCATGGAACTGGAGTTACAGGTGGTTGTGAGCCCCTGGTCATGGGTGTTAGGAACTGAACTCAGATTCTTTACAAGAGCAGTGTATTCTTAACACCTGAACCCTCTCTCTAGCCCCTCAGCTTTTCATTTTTGTGTCTTTATTCCAATGCCTTGACAACTCACAAAATCTTTTTTGGCTGTTTTAGGCCTTTTCCTGTGGTTACTAAATCACAGTGCAAGGCTCTGCAAGAGGATGCTTGTCCCAAATGGGAATGAGGTGGGGAGAGAGTTTTTCTGGTTTATGAATGTTTCTGTGAGAATCTCAAAAATACTTGTTTTCTAAATCACATCCCATTTTCTCTCACCAAAACCTTTACCCTTTTCTTATTTTGTGAAATCCCTACTTTTTTATTTTTGGCACCAAATATCTTTTTTTAATTTGGAAAAAAATCCATTTGGGAGTGAATGCCAAAGGCAAAATAACATTCAGTTTGGTTTTGCACTGTCACATTTCTTTGGAATTTCTTAAAATATATAAATAGTTGTAAATCTTGTTTGTGAGTATATGTAGTAAGCAAAAGTCGGGGTTTTTTTTCACATCCGTTTTCAACTCAATTTCATCAGTAGTCTGTTTAAGTTGGAGCGTTAATGTGTGTGAACGTGTGTATACGCGAGTGTGCAGGTGTGCTTACCCATGTGGGTACATGTGGAGGCCAGAAGTTGACATCAGGATGTCTTTTTCATTTATTCCTTTACCTTGTTATTAAAATTCTTTTAACTGTATCTCTGTTTTTTAGTGTATCTGTCTTTATATGTATGTTGGGGGGTGGGTAATGTGCATGTGTGTGTAGATGCCCACAGAGGCCAGAGAGGATGTTACACCCCTGGAGCTGGAATTACAGGTTGTTATAATCCACCTGATGCTCCACTTTATCTTTTAAGAGGATCTCTCTCTGAACCTGGAGAGTGTACTTTTGGCTGGATTGGCTGACCAGTGAGCTTGGGATCTTCTTAGCTCCACCTGTCCCCCAACACTGATGTGGTTACCACACCTGACTTTTACCTGCATGCTGGAGATCTGAAGTCAGGTCTTCATGCTAGTGCAGTGAGCTCTTTAACCACTGAACCATGTCTCCAACCCTACAGAGTTCTAGGGGAAGAAGATTTTTATAGACCAGGGTTATCCTTCAGGATTAGCTAGGAGAAGCAGAATGGAGGGTATCTAAGAGCAGGGATGGGGGAGTCTTGTAGCTCCACATTTACAGTCTTTACCTTCACTTATGATGCAGACAACAAGCCATGATAAAGTGCATACAGAACTTTGTCAACAAGAGAACTCAGAGACAGACATTGTTAATCATGTTGTTTGCATTCATCCCCATCTTGAGATGTGAGGCTTGACTGGATCTTATTTCATGTATTAGTGAGGTGCATACACACCACATGCTGTGTTGCTGTGATAAAATACTCTGACCAGAGCCAATTCCAGGAGGATAGCATTTATTTGGCGTATTGCAGTTCATCCTTGAGGGAAGTCAGGGCAGATTAGGACAGAAACCTGGATGCAAGGAAGCAAGGACTATGGAGGAATGCTGCTTACTAGCTTACTCCTCTGGCCTGGGCTCAGCCTGCTTTCTTGTATAGCCCAAGCCCACCTGCCCAGGGGTGGTACCATCCACAGTGGGCTGAGCCCTCCTACATCCCTCAATAATCAAGAAAACACCTCACAGGTAAGCCCACAGGCTGGTCTGATAGAGGAAATTCCCTGATTGAAGTTTCTTCTTCCAGGTGTGTCAAGTTGACAACCAGTGCCAACCAGGGCACCACAATGGCACAAATTTGTTTTATTATTATTTTAAGTAGTTGTTTTAGTCTTAGTATTTGTCTGTTGATTTTATTTTGTTCATTTAAATGTCTCACTCTGAGAAGAAGTTCTCAGCTTCACAATTCCTGAGGGATGTAGGGCACAAAAAAGTGTAGGATCCTTGCCTTAAACACAGTGCTCTTCATGTTTTTGTGGTGTTTTACAGACCCCTCCCTCCCCCGACCTTTCCAGCTTCTTTGTTCTTCCCCTTCTCACCATGTCCTGTCCCTGCTGCTCCTGTTTGTGTCTCTTGAATGGAGACAGTCTTCCCATCTTGTAGCTTTGCCTGTAGTTTTCTTCTGTGTGGAACCCACAGCTCCCTTGCTTTCCCTTTGCTGTGGCCCACTCCCTCAGTCATTACCGTTGAAATGTCTCTCTCAAGGAGCCTTCTGCTCACTACCAGAGAAGAGTATTATTAACCCATTCTACCTTACAGAGTGAAATGAAGTGATAATTATTTTTGTTCCTTTTTTTGCTTGGGTTTTTTTTTTTTTTTTTTTTTCTGTGTGTGTCCTTACATTTAAGCCCATTTAAGGCAAAGATTGCTCCCTTGCTGAGGATCTAGGATCGATAGGCAATTAATAGTTGCTGGGGGAGGAAGAGCTATTTTCCTGCTCAAATTCCTGTATATAACCCTAATGAAGCTCACTGACACACACACACACACACACACACACACACACCCCAGAGAGAGAGAGAGAGAGACAGAGACAGAGAGATAGAGATAGGCAGAGAGAGAGGTAGAAGGAAACAGAAGAAAAGGAAGGGGATTAGTGAAAGTAGAAAGAGAGGATAATAGGGGTAGATATGATCAAAATACATTATATACATGTGTGAAAATGTAACAATGAAACTCATTATATATAATTAATATATACTTACACAAACATTTCAAAAGACAAAAGAGCCAGGCATGGGAGTGCCTAACTTTAATCCTAGCACTCGAGAGACAGAGCAGGTGGATGTCTGTGAGATTGAGATCAGCCTGATCTACATAGCTAGTTCCAGGCCAGCTGAGGCTACAGGGACACCCTATCTCAAAAACAAAAGACAAAGAAGATCATACTTATATAATATTGACCAAACCAGGCATGTATTAAGTTTTGATGTGTGTTTTTGAGTGAACAAGGTGGTTGGGTTTTTAGGCATGGTGGTGTCACTAAGAACGGAGGAAGACCAGGGGCTCTTGTGAGGCCTGATGTACAGGGGTCCAGCGCTCAGTTAATTTCACCTAATGAGGACAGTCCAAGCTGGGAGGGAGAATGTGGGAGGCATTACAAGTACTGGTTGTAGTTGATATGAGGAGACTGAAATAGACTGTCTAGCAGTCAGTCAATGCATTTCTCTTGAGCCCGCTGTGTCAGAACCACCAGATTTACCTTAGGCAGGGCTTTTGGCTTCCTTCCAGCCCCCATAATTAGAATCTCTGGGGTTGGAGATCAGCAGTCTGAGTTTTAACAAGCTGGCTGTGTGATCTCAACTGTGCAAGCTGATGAGCTGCTGGCCTAGTACAAGAAGCTCAGAAAGCCAGACACAGAGCTCTGAGAAGCAGTAGTGTCCAAGGCTATGTATTTCAGGGGATGAATAAGGACAGTCAGAAATTTAGTAGGGAAACTAGAACATAGAGTCACAGGTGCTAAAAGACAAAGGATTCCATTTTCAGGACAGATATCCATGAAGATTTGAGATACTAATGTTACATAAGATTATTAAAATACAGATGTCATCTGATGTTTACACTGGTCATTTGACAGTTGTAGACACATAGAATGTGTCAGGGAATCAACAAGCAGTGGCATTTAATTCTTTTAGGCAGATGCTTACTTACATAATTTCCCATCTATGGACTCTTTCACTTCTCATTGTCCTTTGTAATATTGGGGAAATGTGTTCTTTTTTTTTTATTTTTAAAAATGATTTATTTAATAACAACATACTTAGAAGAAGCATATCATTACAACATAATTGACATATTCAATAACGTTTTCCTGAGGTAGGATGCATCTCTTTCAAATTTGGCTGTAAATTTTTAGGTTTACAGTTGAATTATTACAGTTATACAATATTGTACTCAGTATAAACCAACAACTACTTTTTAAAGTACCTTTCTATATAAGTCTTCATGTCATTTACAAGTCACAGATACATCAATAAAATCCATTGCAATTAGATTACTATAAAAGAACATCAATTGAAAAGTTTATTTTTAATACTGTGAATAA